ACTTTGGAAAAAAGGAGATTTTTTTTGGGCTGCCTGGGCTAATGGTAATACAGTAGAGTCTTTCTTGGTGGTGAGTTCTGCCTGGGCTGGAGAGAAAGGGGCTCCCTCAGGAGAGGCAGGTACAGTTTGGAGATCTTTTTGTGTTGGAAATTTAATCAATACTGAACTGGGGAGATTTTTGAGGTCTTTAGGGTCTGGCAGAGGAGGAGAGACTGGTATCCCCAGAGTGGTTGTGACTTGCACAGAAGGCTCTTTGGGAGCCACAGGTGCCATAACCAACGCAGCAGGGGAGGCTGGTTCTGCATTGCTTATGGGACCCGAGGAAATTGGAGGAGAAAGACAAGTAGCTACCTCAAAGGTAGTAGGTGCTGCAGCAATAGCACAGGGGTTAGTCACCACAAGTGGGGTGGTTCCAACAGAAGAAATGGGAATCTGGGCCACTGAAGGATGATGAGTGGCATCAGGAGAGCTTCTGAGAATGAGAGAGGCTGTAGGAGATAATGAAGAAGAGGTAGCTACATTTAAGGTGCCAGAAGGGCTGCAGGTTATGCTAGCGATGGTAGAGGGACCTTTGTCAACAGATGGAGCCACCACTGGAAAGGTAGCCACAGTAGCAGGAACTACCTCATTCCTGGAAGGAAGGGGAGGAATTACAGATCTCTGAGGAGGATAAGAGGCCCCTGTGGAAGAATGATCTGTAGAAATGGTCTTTACTGTAGGGTCTAACAAAGCACCAGAACCTGTCTGACCTAAAGGTTGGACAGAACCAAAAGAACTCTGATGTAAAGGTGCAAGACGAGAGCCCAGAGAAATGGGAAAATCTGGGAGGGTGTTGGGACCCGCAGTCTTTTGAGAAGAGGTCATCAAAGGAAGAGACTGAGTTGCAAGAGTTAAGGCAGCAGGTGGACTAACAGGCCCCTTCAGGCTGAGGCTTCCTGGGTTTTGTGGAGAAGTCAGAGCTGAGGAAACGGTGGTATCTTTGACCTGAGGGGAAGTGACGGCTAGGGTAGTGGTGGGTGTTATCTGAGGACAGGAGGCCACTCCAGACTGAACAGAGGCCAAGGGAGTCACATAGTGGTAAGGAACAGCACTGACTATACCTGGAGGGCTGTCGTTACCTTTCAAGTTAGAGACTACCTGAGAGGGAACTTTAATAAGATTAGTCTTTGGTTCTGGGGGAGTAATGGGAGCTGACAGAGGCATCACTGACCCTGACTCAGCTACAGCCAGTGAAGGCGGTGAAGTAAGGAGGTTAGGTGGAAAAGCAGAACTCTTCTGAACTGAGTGGGGAGCCAGGGCAACCAGAGCTAAGGGAGCTGAAGAGGAAGGGGCCCCTTTCAGAGTTGGAGCTATCATGGGAGAGGCCAGAGCTAAGGCAGCTGGGGAGATGGGAGGCCCTATTAGGTTTGGTAGGAAGGTTGGGGCTTCAGGGGAAGTTCCCAAAGGTAGGGTTGTTCCAGAGGATGACGGGGGCAAAGGAACTTCAAATGGGGTCGAGGAAATAGTAGAGGGGGAAGGGAATGGGGCAGCCTGGTTAGCAGCTGACAGAGGGCACTGCTGCGGGGTGGGAGAGCAAGGAGGGGGAAGGGTAGGTCCAGGCTGCCCTAAGGCAGCAGTGACACTCAAGGCTGAAGACATAGGTAGCACAGCTGGAGAAAGGCAAAAGGAGATAAAGAAGGGGTGGGGGGGGGGAGAAAAATGGTGAGTTATGCAGCCCAACTTGGTACAACATACCTCATAAGAAGCAATGGAGTTTAAATCTGACAGTCTAAGTCACCACGCAGGATTAGATAAAGGTGACAGGCAACAACAACCTTCCCCAAACATTTTTCAGTGGTGAGAAGCCATTCCTCTCCTAATTTCTCACACTTCCCAAGTTCTACCAAAGCAAACCAACTATTTTAGGGTGAGGAGAACAGTCTAACAGCAGCCTATCTCTAAATGGGGAGCACAGCCCCTGGGTAGGTTGGGAACATGCTTTCTACTCTTTTCCAGTGGTGTCCTCCCCTTGCTTCCTCAAATGGACTACATTCCCAAATGTTTCTCGCAGCCAGTAGAATTACCACTACAAAAACAGCTGTGCGACTCTGTCCACCCAAATACCATGAACTAACGGAAAGAGATACCAAAAAGTAGTGAGTAGTGATAATGATGGGGAATCTGAACTGAATGAGAAAAAATGGGGTTGTATACTTTCAGACTTCCACTAGGCTAGGAAAAATCGGACTGTTAGAATAGTTTTGGGAAGGGAGTGCATAGCACAATTCAGTTCTTCCTAAAGTTGAAACTCTTCAGAATTTAATGCAAAGTATTAAGTCACTTAGCTTCTTTATACCTTACCAGTTTACTTACTCTCAAAACCCAAACAAGAAAACCAACCATAAAATGACTGGACTTAATAATTGTCTCTATAAACCTTCCTAGGTGATGTTAATTCTTCAGACACCAATCCAAGATGAATTAGACCTCCAGGCAGAGAGCTTACTCACAAGGGTAAGGACTGTATTACGAATCTGTAACCTAACTTGTTAAACCAGATTGCAGTGCTATTTTGGAAGAGAATTGGAAGGCCAGGCACTGTGGCTCACACCTATAATCCCAGCACTTTGGGAGGCCAACGCAGGTGGATCAGGAGGTCAGGAGTTCCTAACCAACATGGTGAATCCCCATCTGTACCAAAAATACAAAAATTAGCCAGGTGTGGTGGCGCATGCCTGTAATCCCAGCTACTCAGGAGGCTGAGGCAGGAGAATCGCTTGAACTCAGGAGGCAGAGGTTGCGGTGAACTGAGATTGTGCCACTGCACTCCAGCCTGTGTGACAGAGAGAGACTTTGTTTCCAAAAATAAATAAACAAACAAGACAGAATTGGAGTGGCGAGAATACTCTGGATCTCCACTCCTTACCCTGGAATTTAAGTATTTCATTCTGTCAAAATACACCAATATTTGGCATGACAGTAAAACAGCTGCCGGGCGCGGTGGCTCACGCCTGTAATCCTAGCACTTTGGGAGGCTGATGTGAGTGGATCACCTGAGGTCAGGAGTTCAAGACCAACCTGGCCATGATGGAGAAACCCCATCTTTTTTTTTTTGAGACGGAGTTTCGCTCTCGTTACCCAGGCTGGAGTGCAATGGCGCAATCTCGGCTCACCACAACCTCCGCCTCCTGGGTTCAGGCAATTCTCCTGCCTCAGCCTCCTAAGTAGCTGGGATTACAGGCATGCGCCATCATGCCCAGCTAATGTTTTGTATTTTTAGTAGAGGGGGGTTTCACCATGTTGACCAGGTGATCCACCCGCCTCTGCCTCCCAAAGTGCCTCCCAAAGTGGGAAACCCCATCTCAAAAACAAAAACAAACAAACAAAAAAAACCGTTATCTCTGGCATTTAAGAGATAACAGAGAATTGGATCAACAAATGCTCAATGCCTAGAAATGAATGTTAAAGGAGGGGAGGGAAGCCCATAATACCAAAATACAAATTCGAAATTTACTCAACCAGTAATTCTGAGTTCTTATGGCATCCTACTATGGAAAAGACAAGGTGGCTCAACCTGAGAGTGGACAGGCTAAAGTCTAACGATTACAGGAAAATACTACCAAGCATATTCATCAGAATTAAAAACATGTAAAGTATTTCCTTCTGACTGGACCTCAAGATGGAATAAGGCCTCAAATACTTGCTTTGACACCATAACCAATTCCTTGAGCTTCTTTGTTCATTCTAATAGACTATCATCACAGACAAAATCCTGTATATTTATCATTGGGGTACTCCCTTAATACAAGCCTACTGTACAACTCACACTATTCAGGAATATGTTTCATAGCACTAAGGACTGTTTCAGAAGTAAAGGCATTTAGTTTTGAAGCTTGAATCAGATTATTCTAAATTCATCTGAATTTCAAGTCTTCATATTTGCAAAATTAAGTTGCTCAATTACACAATCTCTAAAATCTCGTTTAGTACTGAAATTACAGAATCGTTAAGAGATCAGTACTTCATTTTTTCCATTCCTTAGACCCCGTGTACTCCAAAAATTTCATCTCGTTTGTACTCCAGCTCAGAGCTCCCCTTTCTCCTTCCTAGCAGCTGTATTAATCCTTTCAGCTGCTAACATCAAACAGGTGGGAAGAAGCTTAATGCTTTAAACTATAAGCAAGTCTACTGTAACTCCAAAAAGGGACAGGAATTGCCCTTAAATAACAAATGAAATTTTAAAAAATATCATAAAAAGGTAAGAATGAAGATTACAGCCTGAAGATTTCCTTCATTTAGCTCTGCACAACTGACTCAGAAAAGTTATCATTTTAAGAACTTCTCACCACCTCCTCCTAAGTTTTCTACAGATATATGTTTTAATCAGAATTTAAAATTAGCCTTCACGCTCATTAATTTCAACACTGAGGATAAAAGAAGGATTTATTTCAATCCAGGATTTCACACAATGATGCAGGAACTATTCCAGCACACTAGGAATATCTCAACCCATAAACAAGTTATCCGACCTAGGAGGACTCTGGGGCCCAGTAGGACACATTTACTACCAGCACGCATCTCATCCAGACATGTGATAAAGGCACAATGCCAAGCTGTGCTAACTAAAACCTTGATGTAACTTGCTGACTGGAGCTTCACAAATGCTCCGGGCTCCTTGGCCTGTGTCATCCAGTTCCAATAGGTAAGAATCACTGAACCCCTTCCCTGCTCAGTTTTCTTTCGTGAGGTGGGGGTTGCACAGAAGAGCGTCTTTTGAGGCAATAGACATAACATAGGAAGCAAGCTAGAGAACTTCTAACGTCCACGAATCTTAAAAATACATGTTTACTCTAATTTCCTAAAGTAGTATCTCCAGGATAGCAGTTAATTTAACGGTCTATCCTCCTTGGTAAATGGGCAACCCCATCCTCTTACAAAGTGTATTTCCCCTTTGTCATTTTGCCCACCAAATGGCCTTAGGGTCAATTTTAATTAATGGCAAGAGGAGTAGGGGAACCTACCTGTCTCAGCCTGGGGCTGCGGCAACTCCTGCTCTGTAGCAGGGACGGTTTCTGTGGCTTCGCCGGGCATTTCTGAAGGAATAAAAACGAGGCCTGAATTGATTGGGATACATTGACTTACCCAACCCAGTTTTTAAAAGTATTCTTAAAAACTCTGCGGAGGGCTGTTAGAAAAAAACCGTGAGGGTGTTCGGGATCAACCTTCCCCAAAGAACCTGGGAATGAGAGGTAAATATGATGTGACCCTCACGTCTGTATCAACGCCAGCAATTCCTAGTTCACTCTCAACCCGAGAAAGGATCTCGGTATGGCCTCCGATTTTGGGAGACTTCAGACGCTACTGTGAACCCCCTCCACTCCTAATATATTGCCTGTGCTCCCGGACTACGTTTGCAGACTTCGGGGAGCCAGGAGGGGGAAGACGGTGCTGTTAGGTTCAACACTTGTTTGTCACAAAGAGAACGGTGTTGGGGTTCTAAGGCTGTGACCCCTTACCCTCTCTGGATCCCGTGAAGCAGTTCCCAAAACAAGACGCACTCCGCTTCAGCCCTCAACACTACAACTGCTCCCATCTCTGCAGGCTCGGATTCCGGGCCCGACCCGCAGCCCTTCTACCCTGCTTTTGCCCGGACACCAACCGCAGACCCCATTTTGTCCGGAGGCCCACGGGCCAGTAGGAACCCTGTGGCCCCGTAAAGCCTCCGACTCTCCTTATCTCTCAGTCCCCGGGGCAGCTTAGCCGGAAAGAAAGGTGGATGGCAGCGGATAGAGGGCATCGGCGCAGAAAGTACTTACTGTGCAGGGAAGGCGGAATCAAGATGGCGGCAGAAAGAGAGCGAGCGAGAGCGTGACCCACGCCTGTTGCAGAAGGAAGCCTGGAGCGGAGTGGGTGGGACTAGAATCCGATTCCGGGTCAAGAGCTGCCGGCAGCCACTTCCTTTGAGTGACCGTCGGGCTGTTCCCACGGCGGGGGTGGTGACGAGGACTAAATAAGGGTAAGAATTCAGAACAGGACGCGCAAGCCTGGCTGGAGCTCTCGGCTCGAAGCTACGCAGTCCTGAGTACGAAGCCGACTCCGCCCTCCGGTCCACCAAGTAGCGACTGCGGCATTAAGGCCACTTCCCGATTTCCCTTTCTCAAATAGTGCAGGGAAGTTAAGACGTTAAATAGCGAATTCTACAGAGACTGCATTCACAGCATTGAACGGTGAAAGTGACCTAGGCTAACCAATTATTTTTGGAACACACAGTGAAAATTAACATTTTTAAAGCTGCTGGACCCTCTCCCCCAACAAAAAACCCCCACTTTAAACCGAGAGATGTGATGAAGAACATAAAACTTCTATTCAGATTATTGATCTAACTCGATTTATTTTTCTTGTTCTGTTCAATGACTAAAGACTCAAACGATGTCACCAGATGGCAGCGACTCGACTGTTAAACTCCGTGACAATGTTAGCTGTACCCCTCCCAAAAACGCTGCTTGTAACCATATCCTGTAATTATGTTCCAACTTTGTATGGATAAAGTAATCCAGCTAAAAACTGTCTCTGCCTAAATAAATGAAATTTTTTTTTTTTTGAGACGGAGTTTCGCTCTCGTTGCTCAGGCTGGAGTGCAATGGCGTGATCTCGGCTCACCGCAACCTCCGCCTCCTGGGTTCAGGCAATTCTCCTGCCTCAGCCTCCTGAGTAGCTGGGATTACAGGCACACGCCACCATGCCCAGCTAATTTTTGTATTTTTAGTAGAGACGGGGTTTCACCATGTTGACCAGGATGGTCTCGATCTCTTGACCTCGTGATCCACCCGCCTCGGCCTCCCAAAGTGCTGGGATTACAGGCTTGAGCCACCGCGCCCGGCAATAAATGAAATCTTAACTTCCCTACTTCTGAAGGCCGACTCCATTCTTTGGAGTTGGTTTTCTGGTTGGTCCATCCTCACACTACCCTTGAATAAACTCTTTTAATAGATTCTCATCCTTTTATTTTAGGTTCACAACGAATTAGGCCGCTGTTGAAATTATAAAGTTGCAGATTCTCCTTCCTAGAAAAAAAGAACATAGGCATATATACAATTCCTTTGCTTGCTATTTTGGGCACTTCTTAGATTTTTGAGGCTTTTGTTGCCTGTGTTGGAGTGCAGTGGGCGATCTCGGCCTCAGCTTTCCGGGTTCAAGCGATTCTCCTGCCTAGGCCTCCTGAATAGCTGGGATTACAGGCATGCGCCACCATGCCTGGCTAATTTTTTGTATTTTTAGTAGAGATGGGTTTCTCTGTTGGTCAGGCTGGTCTGGAACTCCCGACCTCAGGTGATCCACCCACCTTGGCCTCCCAAAGTGCTGGGATTACAGGCTTGAGCTACCGCCTGACACTTCTTGGATATTCTAAGCTTATTTATTCTAGGTGTCTGGGACCCCACCTTAAGAAATCATACTTTGTTCGACTGTATTCTTGAAAAGTAGGATGTAAAATCAGTGTTGTGTTAGAAAGGGCTCCAATATCTTCTCAAAGCCCCACAAAAGAACTCAACAAATATATGCTGTACTTGAATTAGCTAAACCAGCCAACATTTTATTTATTTTTTTTTTTGAGGTGGAGTCTTGCTCTGTTGCGCAGGCTGGAGTGCAGTGGTGTGATCTTGGCTCACTGCAACCTCCTCCGCCTGCATTCAAGCGATTCTCCTGTCTGAGCCTCTGGAGTAACTGGGATTGCAGGCATCTGCCACACCTGGACTCCTGCCCTTAGGTGATCTGCCCACCTCACCATCGAAAAGTGTTGGGATTACAGGCGTGAGGCACTGTGGCCGGCCTGATTTAATAGCTTTAAAATGACTGTGGCCCCTTTTTTTTTTTTTTTTTTTTTTGAGATGGAATTTCGCTCGTTACCCAGGCTGGAGTGCAATGGCGCGATCTCGGCTCACCGCAACCTCTGCCTCCTGGGTTCAGGCAATTCTCCTGCCTCAGCCGCCTGAGTAGCTGGGATTACAGGCACACACCACCATGCCCAGCTAATTTTTTGTATTTTTAGTAGAGACGGGGTTTCACCATGTTGACCAGGATGGTCTCGATCTCTTGACCTTGTGATCCACCCGCCTCAGCCTCCCAAAGTGCTGGGATTACAGGCGTGAGCCACCGCACCCGGCGCCTCCCCCCTCACTTTTTTTTTTTTTTTTTTTAAAGAGATGGAGTCTTACTTTGTTGCCCAGGCAGTGGCCTGATCTTGGCAATGGTGCCAATAGCTTGAACTCAGGAGGCAGAGGCAGAGGTTGCAGTGAGCCGAGATTGCACCATTGCAATGCCTGGGTGACAGAGCAAGACTCCAGCTCAAAAACAACAACAACAACAAACCCACCAAAACCAATGAACCAACCAACCAAATAAATTTTTTTTTTTTAAGATATTTCGCTCTTATTGCCCAGGCTGGAGTGCAATGGTGCAAGCTTGGCTCACTGAAACCTCTGCCTCTTGGATTCAAGTGATTCTCCTCAGTCTCCCGAGTAGCTTGGATTACAGGTGTGCATCATCACATCTGGCTAATTTTGTATTTTTAGTAGAGATGCAGTATTTACCATGTTGGTCAGGCTGGTCTCAAACTCCTGACCTCAAGTGATCCACCCAAATCACCTGCCTTCCAAATCACTTGCTAGGATTACAGGTGTGAGCCACAGTGCCCGGCGGGAATTTTTTGTTTTTTTTTTTGAGACAGAGTCTTACTCCATGATCAGGCGCCAGGCTGGAGTACAGTGGCATGACCTCGGCTCACTGCAAACTCTGCCTCCTGGGTTCAAGCAATTCTCCTGCTTCAGCCTCCCAAGTAGCTGGGACTACAGGCGTGCACCACCACGCCTAGCTAATTTTTTTTGTATTTTTAGTAGAGATGGGGTTTCACCATGTTGGCTTGATCATGGTCTCGATCGCTTGACCTTGTGATCTGCCCGCCTTGGCCTCCCAAAGTGCTGGGATTACAGGCGTGAGCCATTGCGCCTGGCCGGGAATTTTCTTAAAATATAGGTTAAGGAGTCAATGTGTTGACTGCATTATAGAGTCTGTTTCATATAAACCAAAAGATTAAAACAAAGACTAATTGTAGAGGAAACAATGAGAAAGGAAATGCAAAGGAAGGAAAATTTTCATTGTCATTAAAAGCACCAGTCTGACAGCTTGCTTCTCAAATTTTCTCATTAGACAGAATATAAACTAGAATGACTGTTTTGTTTAGATTGGTTGTAAAACAAGGCAAGAGAAATCTCACACATTAGAACCCATTTCACAAAATCAGACTTTAAAAATTGAAGTACCAGCCGGGTGAGGTGGCTCACCTGAGGTCAGGAGTCGAAGCTAGCCTGGCCAACATGGTGAAACCCTGTCTCTACTAATAATACAAAAAAATATTAGCTAGGTGTGGTGGCACATGCCTGTAATCTCAGGTCCTCGGGAGGCTGAGGCAGGACAATTGCTTGAACCAGGGAGGTAGAGGTTGCAGTGAATGAAGATCGTGCCATTGTACTCCACCCTGGGTGACAAGAGGGAAACTGTCTCAAAAAAAAAAAGAAAAAGATTACCCAGCACTTTGGGAGGCCGAGGCGAGCAGATCACAAGGTCAGGAGATTGAGACCATCATGGCCAACATGGTGAAACCCCATCATTACTAAAAATACCAAAAAAAAAAAAGCTGGTGGTACGTGCCTGTGGTCCCAGCGAGGCAGGAGAATCGCTTGAACCCTGGAGACGGAGGTTGCAGTGAGCTGAGATTGCGTCATTGCACTCCAGCCTGGGCGACAGGGTGAGACTGTCTCAAAAACAAAAACTGAAATAAAAAAATGAAGTACCTAGATATATAAAGAGTCCCAAGTGTTTTCACAAGTGTAACAGGTTTTATTTATTTTTTTGAGATGGAGTCTTGTTGAGCTGCTGAGGTTGGAGTGCAGTGGCATGATCTCGGCACACTGCAACCTCCACCTCCTGGGTTCAAGCGATTCTCCTGCTCAGCCTCGCAAGAAGCTGGGATTTCAGGTGCTCTCTACCACACCTGGCTTTTGCTTGTATTTTTAGTAGAGACAGGGTTTTACCATGTTGGCCAGGCTGGTCTCAAACTCCTGACCTCATGTGATCTGCCTGCCTTGCCCTCCCCAAATGTTGCGATTATAGGCGTGAGCCACTGCAACTGGCCCTCCAGATATAATTAAATGTTTAAAACTTAAGGACAAAACCCTCATTCACCCAAAAATATGACGTATAAAGTGATCTGAGATGAGTCTCGGGCCTATTACTGCTCACTTACCTCTATATAATCCTAGCAACTGATAGAACTGGGTATTTATATCAGAAGCCTTAGAATTATCTTTATGTAATATTAAATTTTACAGAATTATCTGCAATCCACTTATGCCTTTTGTTTGTTTTTTTTGAGACAGTTTTGTTCTTGTTGACCAGGCTGGAGTGCAGTGGCGTGATCTTGGCTCACTGCAACCTCCACCTTCTGGTTTCGAGCAATTTTCCTGCCTCAGCCTCCCAAGTAGCTGGGATTACAGGCGCCTGTCATTGTGCCCAGGTAATTTTTGTATTTTTAGTAGAGACAGGGTTTCATCATGGTGGCCAGGCTGGTCTTGAATTCCTGACCTCAGGTGATCCGTCCGCCTTGGTCTCCCAAAGTGCTGGGATTACAGGTGTGAACCACTGCACTGGCCCACCTCCTTTTATTTCTCCTTCCAGGAACCTTGACACTCTTCCTTTGGTGGTCTCAGGAAATTTTTTTGAGACAGAGTCTTACTCTGTCGCCTAGAGGCTTCGATCTTGGCTCACTGCAACCTCCGCCCCCTGGGTTCAAGTGATTCTCCTGTCACAGCCTCCCGAGTAGCTGGGATTGCAGATATGTGCCACTGTGCCCAACTAATTTTTGTATTTTTAGTAGAGACAGGGTTTCACCATGTTGGCCAGGCTGGTCTTGAACTACTGACCTCAGGTGATCTGCCTGCCTTGGCCTCCCAGAGTGCTGGGATTACAGACATGAGCTACTGCACCTGGCCAGGAAATCTTTTCAACATAAATTATTTCTCAAGAAAAGGTAAATTTACTTTGAGCTTT